GGGAGAGGGGAGAGGGGAGAGGGGAGAGGGGAGAGGGGCAACAACTGAGAATATTCTAATTTTACCTTTGTTATGTCACCGAGAAGGCACCACAAAGTAGACGTTTCTTTTTCTTTTAACTGATCTCGTACAAGTGTTTCTGCCTGTAAAAGCAAAGAAATTAAAGTTAGGGTACTTAGAAATCTAGGAACTGCTATTGATCTGTTAAGGAACTTAGAAATCTACGAATCTACAGTTGAAAAATAGGCATCAGTTTTTTATGTGTCTGTCCTCTTACTGACAATGAATTGCGTCATCACATTGTCAAAGTAGTGTGGATCCACGAGGCGTAACAAAAACCATAAAGGCTTCTCATTTTTAGCGATCAAAACAACCAACGGAAAAAGRCTATTCTCCCACAACAACCGCAGACCGTCAAGCAACGCAGGCTAACTCTTACCTTTTCATATCGTCCGAGTAACTGGTAACAGGTGAYCATGTTCTCCCACATCTGCAGAGACTGATAGATGTCCAAAGCACTTTTGACAGCCTTCATCGACATCAACACCTGAGCAAGGTCATGCTACCGAAAGATACAGTATACAATATCAGTAGCAATCGAAGGGTGTATTTAGAGTCCTGCTGAGCCTATTTTACTTGAATGGATGCGCACACGAATTTTAGAATTTTTTATCTTTTATATATTTGCTCTCCAAAAAGTCCAAATTTTCACTTAGGAAGCGCGYTACCTGTAGTGCTTTCAAGTGTGAGTCAATCGTAAGGAAAAACGAAAAACAGTTCTATAACGATTTTTTGCTTCAGTACTTTTACTTCGTGGCAGGATTTGCTGTCAAAGTTCCAACTAATTCAGGTTGAGATCAAATAACAATATTTTTTTTTGCTTTATTTAAATTGTTTTTTTAGGCAGTTGGACCCAGAAATGCGTCACAGGTTAAGGTGGCTGGACCCCCTCACGCTTGACCGCTACCTTCCACTTTTGGAACGCTGGTGCATAAACGTGTTTTATCCGATTGCAAATCTTTTTTGCACATAAGTCACATAAAGATTGAATTAATGTTTGATGCAGTTTTTAGTGAGGTCGAACGTCACAACACGTGATTATGATGAAATATTTGTTTTCGTTTAGAAAATAGTTTTAGCCTTGTAGAGCGTTCAACACTAAAATGCTTCGTACCACATAAATATATACTGGTTGCCTCCATTTG